TGAAGCACTTGTATTTAGCTAGTTTTTTTAAGTGTAGTCGCACAAGTATCTTGCCGAATGAAATTATCCATACCAGAATGAAATGAGCATTGAAAAGTAAGATTACTAAAAATAGGGCTACTAATAGCTCACTATTTTATTCTACCTCCTCTTATATAAAGAACATACCACCAAATAAGGTTAATGTCTAAAGATTATATTAAGTTTTTTCTATAAAATCTATTTAGTGACTTACTGCTGAATTAACAGAGAGCTTTTCTATCTCATTAAATCGTGGGTCAGTGTAAGGTTTTAACCAATAAATCAATTGAATTTAAATGAAAAGTACTAAGACACCCAAGAGTCCCTAAATTAAGTATATTAAGAATTTAGATAAGTGTTACTTTTATCACTATGCTCATAGATGATAATAATGTGCTGCAAAGTATAAAAATAAACTTTCGAATGTTAACAAGAAGTATTTCCCAGTAGAAAACACCATCATTTAATCCAGCAAAAAATAAACCATACTTATGAATAATATCAATCTCGTGAAATCTCTTTTTCTTGGTAGATAAGGTTATGAAAAAATATATGGGAAATCCAAACACCCAAATTAAAGTATAAGGTATCCCAATGTATTGGACCATCTTTTAGTGAGTGCCCACCCAGCATTCTATCTCATAGTCTGCCTTCAGATATTCTTTACCATCTTAAAATTTTTAGCAGCTGAATAGTGAGAATGTCTAATTTGTTATAATCGGATAGCTAATGTATGAGAGGATAAAGCTTGTAACTAGGATACTTTAAGTGATATCAATCTTAGGTTTAGATCTAAGCTATCTGTAAAGGTGAATCATCATCCAAACTAATGCTCCAATTAAGCTTAATATGAAAGGAAGTAGCCCATACATTATAATTTTCACATACACTGTTGGTATTGATAAATTAGTAGACTGCTTATAAATGCAATCAAGTGAGAAAATAGACTCAGAAGTACTTCCAATGATAGATAAGTAGTGCAGGGTGTCTTCCACTAAATTTGGCCAATTCATTTCAAATGATTTAACTATCATTGTTGCATGATAGTAGTTTGTTATTATTCTAAGTAGTACTGTTTAAGGCTTATTTCGATGATTCACAAAAAGTATTGAGCTATTGTAAAAGTTTATATAAGGGATTGTACTTTAGTAAATAAGCAACATAGAGTCCAAGCAAAAATAATATGCCGAGAAGTTTAAGAATTTAAATTTCAAGATTTTCACAAGGAACACAATTAGACGAGCTTGATCGACCATATATTTTACCATTACTACTTTTCGCGCAACTTTAGCAAAGCTTTCCTTCATATCCAAGAGCACATTAAGAATAAACACCACCTCTATAAATTCATGTGAAAAATAATATATACAGGCAGCTTTCTCTGTTAGGACATTTGTAAATAACTGTACTTGTCGTTTCTTCTCTCCAATAACCCTATTCAAGGAGTGTCTAATTCTTGCCCTAGCATCTGACATGATTGCTAAAGCATTTCTGGCAAAATGAATTCTTAGGATTGAAAGAATATGAGCCTTTTGGACACTCTACACATATATTATTTTGAGTTATCTCGCCTGCTATGCATTCTCTGAAAGTAACTGATATTGACAGCACTATAAAAGTAAATAAATATAAATAGAAATTATACTTTGAAACGATAATCCTGCATTGATTAGTTTTTTAATTTCAAATGAATCTGTTGAAAAAATTAAATCAGTGGTGAGATTTGGTTTAGCTATCATTACCAAGTCATTAAAGATAAAAATACCATTTTACGCAGATGCTTTAGTATTCTAAGAAAACTAAATATCTGTGCCACCTTACATTATTTGTGATATACTAACATCATCATTAACTACTAGTTAGTTATCTTAATCGAAGATACCAACTCTTAATGCTTGATTTATATTCTACCCACTGACTAAACTTATTTAAAGCTAAGAGGTTGTTTAAATATCTTCTAAACTATTCATACTAGAGATGAATTTCAAATGTGTTGGATAAGATGCGAAATCTTTCCCATAGACAGCTTAATTTTAACTAAATTAGTTTGATGATAAGTTTCTAGGCTAATTTAGATCATAAAATATTGCGCCTCCGCAAACAGATGCTCTGTTTTCATTAAATTGATTTGACTACACTTCAAAAGAACATCATCCTATTAAAATATGAGATAAAAAGTTAAAAGTTACTTTTATTTCTCTATGTTAAACAAGAAAGATACAAAGATCCTCCACAACCTTCAAGGGCCTAATTATTGGTGAACACTGAATCTATTATGTAAAAATCAATATTTTCAATTAATATTGCTCCTCCGCTAATAAATGCTTTGTTATCCACAAATTAACATTATATAATATGAAGCTCATAAGAATTTTATGTAAACTTGTCGTCAAATATATATATAGCTGGTCCTTGCTAAGCAGATAGATTTTTAAATTCAGAATTATAAATATATAAATTTGACATCTTAGAATCAATGGTATATCCCGGCTCGATAATTTATTAGACACTATCTGAGAATTTAGAATCTCTTATAATTAAACTGCATGAATCAATAATAAATAACTTAAATTAAAATTGAGTAGCCAAGAGCCTATGAATATATCCCTATACATTTATCATCAAAATAGCTGGTTTGTTTGTATTTACAATCTTCGATATATTAATCAATTCAACATTTTCCATCTCCATTTTAGTATTCTAGATAAGCAAAAGCGCATTATTTAGATTATTAAGTTTCACATTTTAAATATAGAGATTTTTAACTTTAAGCTAACAGTCAACAGCAATAAATAATGTAGCAATACTATCTGTATAAGTAACATTCTAAATTTCAACATTACTATGAGATGTAAGATGGATTAAATGTTAGGCACTAGATAAATTTCTGATGTGAAAATTTTATATAATAGCCTCACTTTCCTCCGAATGTAAAATGTCATCATCCATCCCATTAGTATGCTAATAGGTCACATTATTTACCTTTACTATTGAAGATGATTGAATCAAAATTAAAGATATCTATTCTTCAATCAATATTCCACCTGTAAGCTGAAATAGAGCCTTTATAGCAAGAATTTATTGATTTTCAGCTTATTGATCAATCAAACTATAGCCTCTGATCTCATCCTAGTATTTATCAATCAACATTCTTAGAAATGGAAGCTTAATTTTTAACATCGCTAGAATCTCATCCTAATGATCATTCATATTCTAAAACATCAGCATACTTTTGGCATCATATTTGTAAATAAAACCATTTTAAGTAATAGAGCCTCCTGATATTATCATATCGCTATAAGAATTAATTGCAAAGGCTAATGCTGCTCTTATGCCTACATTTTTAATAAAGGTGCAATCTTAAAATAGCATTTTGGCTTCATTTTGAATGTATATCACCCCTCCTACTACTGCGAAATTATCTTGTATTCTACATCTTAGGCAAAGAATAAAACTGTTGGACTAGAAAAAGAAAAGCCCACCATTGTATGCATAGTTCCTTAAAAATATTGAATCATAAATATGAGTATCGCTATTCATATTCTCAGAAAATATTATTGATCCTCTTCCAGTTGAGAAATTATCTTTAAACAGAGAGTTTTATATATCCAATACTGTGTTTTACTTTTTCTGTATGAGACCATTACTAATTGCATAGTTTTACTTGAATGAAGATCCAGATATCTAAACAAATTATCTCAACTGAGTATTATACATATTATTAGGACTCATGTCTAGAAACTTACCACAATTATTATGATAAGTAAGATTCACTATTCGAAAAATTTTAGACTTATGCTAAAGATGTAAAAACCTGCTGTCATCAATGGAGTTATTTATGAACGAGATATTATGCATGTAAAACTAAAAATTCTCATAAGTAAAATCTTCTGTACTTATTAAGGCACTTTTCTTTTGAAAAGTTTGATTCTTAATGCTAATTTGTGATAGATTAAACAGGATTTTATTGTAATCATTATCATTTATCAAGAGAGATTCTACATGAATAAGTTTGACTTGATTGCCCATTAAATTCCAGTTTCTAAAGCTATATTCCATTACTTAATCTTTTTCATTATAAGGTGTTAGTAACTCAATGTGTACTATCGATGAAGTGTATCTTTGATTTGTGCTTTTTATATTTTTCCCTGTGAAGTTTTAAAAATTGATGCTTTAGGATTGATGAAAAAGCAAAAGTTAATTATTTTTTATTCCAACTCTCTCAATACAAAGGTCTGATATGTTTATAATCTTGCTTTCATGAATGGAAATGAGTTTGCTAATGCTCAACTCCATATCATGAAATGAAACATCTCTTATTTCCACTCTTTTAGATTCTTATATAAATATCAAAGCATTTTACGATTCACCATTTTCTATATTAAATTATTAAAAAGTAATAATTATGTAAGGGACTTACAAAACTCAGTTAAATGTGAAAAATCTAATTTACTTATTATAGCATCTTATGATATAAGTTTTATAAAGCAAGAAATGACCGAATTTCTTATAACTTATTCTTAAATTTCAAGATTATTCCCCTCGACATAAAATAACTAAGACTCAGATTATAAGTTTTGAACATTTTTAAAGCTATTGTTTCTAATTTAGGAATAAATATTAGCAAGGCCAATTTTTTTAATATCAAATAATTGTCCAGACGAAAAAGATAAGTTTTAGAATTCATTGTCCTAGATGGAGAGATACTGAATGCCATCCTCTAAAAATTTCATTGAAAAAAGTATATAAGACATTCTTAGCTAATCTGTGTTTTAGAATCTATTTTTCGAAATGTCAATGTATATCTAAATCTAAGTATTGCACTTCACAGCTTAGTGCTCAAATAATATTGTCTATTCAGATTTAACCCATTATGAGTCATTGAATACATTTCAGGTGAATGTTATATTACTTTGACTTGATATATAAATAAGATGCTGATAACCAATTCCTGTATTTTACCCAAAGAAGTTATTATTTTCAATAAAAATGTTATTAGAAACATTCTCTTGACCATATAGTAGGCAATTATTAATTGATGAATGTGAAAGTAGCCTACTGATGCTAGTAAGATCTATAGAAGATTACTCCAATTTGAAGTTCGCACCTTCAGTTGTCATAAATATCATTTGCTTTAGATTGAATTAGCAGTTTTTGAAATGAATCCATCTATAGGGAGCATAGTAAGCAAAAACAAGAGAATTAGCTATTTAGTCTACGTACCCTAACTCAGAGAACTAAATGTCCATTATCATAAGATCTGAATTATAAGTGACTATTTTATATTTAGTCACCTAATGAAACTATGCTGATATTATTCCTCTAGTTATCGCATTCTAGTAGTTGTAGGCTTGCACTGATTAGTTATTCCTTATTAGTGTCGGATTAAAATTACTGAGCTTTCTGGTGTAAGATCCGGACGAAATCATTACTTTTGCATATAATTCCTGAATTATTTAACTTTATTTCTAATAAACATAATATGGCCTATATATATTAATATCGAGAACAAGACTCTTGATGGATATAGAGGATTTTATTTTGGGCATTCTTTTACTGAACCCTGTTTGATTATGTATATTTTTATTTTAAATATTAATCTTTAAACTTACCTTATTGTAACTTTTGAATTGGCAAGGACCAGGGGCATCTGCTCTGAGTGGATGGTTAGATTAGAGCCCTGCCGCAGATAAATGATAAACTCCTCCCCTAGCCAGGATAATTAGTTGAAAATTTCTCTAAAGGGATCGTCTAGCTGCTTGAACGGGTATTCAATTGTTCCCAGTTCTATATTGCTCAAACTTGAGGAAGGATCAACATAATATGATTTGCCTACGGATAGATCATTATCAGACGAGTAAGTATAAATGAAAGGGAAATTTCAGTAATCTAATGGCTTACCTCGGCAGTAACTGAACAATCCGCTATCCAGTTCATGGTGAGTAACTGAGATCGGTAAGGTGTCAAGTGGGCATTACTCTACGCATGTCCAGTCTTTCAGATTTCTGTAAACTAAGGCTTAATCATTTTTATCCTGTGGGCATGTCAGACATTGTGAAGGATCGGAGCCTATGCACCATGTATCACAAGAATTATCGCACTCTTATAAATTCAATTAATATTCTATTAAGCTTACTTTTGCATTACTCTACTGTGTTTTCATAATAATAGCCCTTGCTGCATAGCTGGGTTCTTGCAGATTGCAATAGAGTGGTGAGAAGGACACATATTTGGACTATTATATGATATCTGCTTGTTAAGATGTTTATATTGGATATCATCATATTAAACATTTAAATTCTATATTAACTCAATTATGCGATGATGAATTAAAACTTCCTGACTCTCATTAATTTCTTAATTACGATTATTTCAGATAAACCGTTATTTCCTTAATTCGACTTTAAGTATTGATTTCAGAATACGGGGTTTTGGGGTTTTGGGGTTTTGGGG